TTTGCAGAATTCAGACTGTTCAAACCAAAGAGCTTTAAGCTTTTCTTGGAACAGATCAGTTGTTGCTTTTTTTTATTTCAGAGAAGTATAAATATCTCTTTTAGCTGTGTTTTGTGCATATATCATACCAAAACGGTCAGATCATACCAAAAAGACAGACTGTGTCAGGGTGCTCTCAGGGTGCTTTCATCTTAACCTTTTCTCAAGCTGGCCAGAAATCTTTGTACCAGTACTTAATATAATGGGTTTCAGATGCATGTTGAAGAAACATTCAGCAACACAAGCAACATATGCAACCTTTTGATGTAGAAAACTTAGTCAACTTCATATGTTGGGTTTGGAATGAAATGAGCACCTATTGAATTAGCTGACAAAACCCTTATTTGACAATAGTTTCCCATATCACAGGAGCATTTTGAGCATTCACTGGGATATTGGTGACCTTGCACCATTGCTTGAAATTTAATCTGTAACTGTGGATTCAGCGGATTTGACATAATCATTTTCTTCTGAATTACTGATATCTTTGGTATTCTTACTAACTAAGGATCATTTGTGATTGGCTTTATTTTGAAGTGGCCAGATCTCTAGTTCATCAGTTCCTTGGCCTGCTTCAGTGAAATGACAGAATCATAAGGTTGGGAGTAACCTCAAGGATCATCTAATCTAACCCCCTGCAGAAATGCAGGATGCATTATTTCTATACTATCCCAAATACTTATTTGGCCTCTTCTAGGAAACTAATAAGGAAGGAGAACGCACAATGTCTCTAGGCAACATAAATGCTTTGGATTAACTTTGCAGAAGCAATATCATTTTTAACCCTCTCTAATATATTTTCTTCAGTTGATTTAGATGCAAAAAAAACAACAACCCACCCCCTCCAATATCTGAGGTGTTTTCCATGATGGCCATAAGCTATTTCTCTCTTTCATTGTGTTTTGTGTAACAAGATGCATTTCCACCAAGCCCAAACATGATTTCTTGGAAAACAACCTGACTTGAAGAAGTAGGGATAATTCTGATGCAATGTCAATAGGTGGATACAGAACACTGTAACAGCAAAACACTACTGGTTGTCATAGATTTCATAGACAACAGGGCTGGAAGGGACCTTGCAAGATCATCACGTAGAACTCCCTGCCCAAGGGGCAGGAAGTCTGCTGGGGTCAAATGATCCCAGCAAGATAAGCATCCAAGTGTGTTTTAAAGGTGTTCAGAGTAGGTGCTTGCACCACTTTTGGGGGGAGTCTATTCCTGACTCTGGGGACTCGGATGGCAAAGACGTTTTTTCTTATGTCCACCTTAAAATGGTCTTCCCGGAGTTTATGACCATTAGACCTTGTCTTCTCTTGGGGTGCTCTGGTGAACAGCTGTTCTCCCAGTGCCTGGTGCACACCCCTAATATACTTATAGGCTGCCACCAAGTCCCCCCCTGAGCCTTTGCTTTTCCAGGCTGAAGAGTCCCATGCTTCTCAGCCCTTCCTCGTAAGACTTGTTCTCTTGTCCTCTAATCACATGCGTGGCTCTCCTCTGAACTCTTTCAAGCTTCTCCACATCCTTCCTAAAGTGCGGAGCCCAGAACTCGATGCAGTACTCCAGCTGTGGCCTCACCAAGCCTGAATACAGCGGGAGGATGACTTCTTGGGTCTTGCCTGAGATGCATCAGTAGGTGCAAGCCAGAGTTTTGTTTGCTTTGCTGGCTGCAGCATCACATTCTGCTGCTTTTGCTGCACATGATGTCAGACATGGTGTGTCTGCCATGCTGTCCAGCAAGCAAAAGCAAAAGGGACTTTTTATTTTGCATATTGATTATCCAGCTAATATTGTTCATAAGATCCTAAGAAATCAGGGCTGGAAGGGACCTACTGAGAGGATCTAGTTCAGCCCCCTCCTTAAGGCAGTATCATCCCTGACTAAACCATCTGAGCCAACTGTCTATCTAACCTGCTCTTGAAAATTTTCAGGGATGGAGAATCCATGGTTTCTCTAGGTAGCCTGTTCCAATGCTTGACCATCCTCCTTGTCAGGACGTTCTTCCTAAAAACATCAGGACTGAAGCCAGGACCTGAACTTCTTGAAACTGAAAAGTGCACAGCTCTACCACCCCCACTGTAATTGCTATTAACTTTTAAAAAGATATAATTATGTGCAACAAGAGCTGATTTCAGTGTTGCAAAAGGCAGCTTACATGTTATGGAGACTTTCAACAAATAGAGCTCATTCTCAATGAAAATAAGAAAATAAACTGATAATTGCTACAGGAAATGAGTTCAAACAGGATGGGGAGCACCTTGCACAGGGTGCAAAAATCTGATCTTTGCATGATTCCTAAGCAAATGGCAGCTTCTGGAAATTGTCTGTCTTGCCTGCAGAGGAATGTTCCTGGGGTTACTGCTCTGAAGAGCGATTCCGTGCTTGGGACCTGTAGAACTGACTGTCGCTCTCTCCATGAATGCCCTTGAGTATTCCTTCTGGTTACAACTAGATACAAACTTCAGGTTGAATATGTTTTGCAAACACTGGTAGCACACACAAGCAATATTCTATGGTTCAGATTCCTCTAATAGGGCTTATCAAAAGTTTTGCATCTGTTTTTGATAGAAAATCAGGTTTCTAACAACATAAACATTTTCATAAAACTGTCTTCCTTGTGCTGAAAATCTCTACATTTTTATTAAAAACACCCAACATTTAGTTTTGGGGCAGAACTCCCCAAACAATTCTAATATTATAAAAGCCTTAGTTCAGAGGCGGGCAATTATTTTGAGCGGAGGACTGCTTACCCAGTTTTGGCAGGCTGTCAAGGGCCGCATGGGTAGCCCTGCCCCTTGACAGGTGCCCCACTCCCTGGTCCCAGGGCCAGCACCAGTGGGACCCAGAGCAGGGCGCAGGCTGGCAGGGTCCGTGGAGCTGGGCTGGGCTGCACCAGTAGGGAGAAGGGGGAGCTGGCCCGGATCCATAGAGCCCCTGCTGGCTGGGACCCCATGCTCCTGCCACCCTGCTCTAGGCCCCACTGGCACTGGCACTGGGACACTGGTGCGGGCCCTATGCTCCCACTGGCTCCCTACCCACTCACCCCCA